TGGGTTTCAGTCATTTATTGTCTCTATTTATCAATTAAAATACGTTTCGGTGTATTTTTCCACCATCATCAGTTTTTATGTGTAGCGTTGTTGCTTGTATGCCAAGGCTTAAAGCAGCAACAACGCTACACATAAAAACTGATGATGGTGGAAAAATACACCGAAACGTATTTTAATTGATAAATAGAGACAATAAATGACTGAAACCCAGGAATTGATTTTGATTTGGTTATGAATACAATAGTTGTGGGTAGAAAATTGCCTCTGATAGAAAATGGACAAATGGGTTAAATTTGGACAGAAAAGTACTTGCTGCAAATCTGTGTACTTTTCTCCTCGCACGACATGGCCGAAATACTCAGGTTTCCTCTTTTTTATAGTGGAGAGGATCTCAGCGGTGTTATTTAAGCGCTGTGGTATTGCCACGTTGGTGATTCTTTCAGACCACGTGACTCTTAGCAGTCTCCTGTAGGCCCACATCTCCAACGCTTCAAGCGGACTTTCTTCATTTTTGTTGATGGTCCAAGCTTCAACTCCGTACAGTAATGTAGAGAATACGTAGCATCTCAGCAGTCGGATTTGTAGGGATAATTTTAGGTCCCTGTATCGTAGAACATTGCTCATTTTTCTGTAAGCTCCTCGTGCTTGTTCTATTCTTGATCTTACTTCTGTGCGGCTATCTGCATTTTCTGTTATAACGCTGTTATATCAGCTCTGATAGTCTGCTGTTTACTGATTACTAAAACTTTGGTCTTTTTTATGTTTAGTTCTAAGCCAGCTGCGTCGCACTTGACTACCACACTGTTCAAACCCCGCTGTAGATGTTCTGAGCTAGAGGCTAACAAAACCGTGTCATCCGCGTACCGTATGTTATTTATCAATTCGCCATTAACGACAATGCTCACTGCTGCCTCCGAAAGTGTATCTTTGAAAATTATCTCTGAGCATACATTGAAGAGCAACGGAGATAGGATGCACCCTTGCCTTACGCCACKCTTGATGGTTACTTCTGGCGTGGTGGTTCCCCCCACTCTGACTATCGATGTCTGACTCCAGTATAAGTTTGCGATTACTCTGATATCCGCCCCGTCCAGTCCA